GGCCTCGTACATTCTCTGGCCGGTTTATTGGATCTGCCAAGGCTGCGTCTGCACTGGTATATGGGTTTTAGCCCACGAATGTGGCCACTACTCGTTTTCGGATAGCAAGACAGTCTGTGACTTCACTGGGCTTGCGTTACACACCCCTCTTCTTGTGCCGTACCATTCCTGGCGAATTAGTCACGCAAAACATCACCGAAGCACAAACGATATGGACCGCGATGAAGTGTTTGTCCCCAGCACAAAAGATGAGTTCAGAAAAGGAAGTTTGGCAGCTCTTTCTCCTTCATGGAACGTTTTAAGCCTGTTGAAACTGTTCTTATTCGGTTGGCCTGCGTATCTTCTGTTCCATGTCACAGGTCGTAAATATCACACACATACGGATCACTTCAACCCCAATAGCCCAATTTTCAGCGACAAAGATTACCGAGACGTGATAATTAGCGACGTCGCACTGGTGGCGTGGATCGGTTTCCTTGGTTACCTGGCTTCTGTTAATTCTGTGTTGTGGCTGGTGAAAGTCTATATCATCCCGTATCTCATAGTGAACTTCTGGTTGGTATTTATTACCGACTTGCAGCATTCTGACGCAGCTGTGCCTCATTACAGAGGACGGCAGTGGAGCTGGCTTAAGGGAGCCCTGTGTACGGTTGATCGAGACTATGGCATTTTGAATTACGTCTTTCATCATATCGGTGACACACATATTGCCCATCACGTGTTCTCATACATGCCACATTACCATGCGGTGGAGGCGACCAAGCATCTGAAAAAAGCTTTAGGAGAGTTTTATTACAAAGATAACACCCCGATATTCAAGGCCATGTGGTTGACTGGGAGATATTGCCGTTATGTTGAAAACTCGGGTGACATTCTGTGGTATAAACACGATTAATGTATATTTCTTTTGTTGATGTCTACTTTGTTACTGATGAATAGGGCACCTCCGTGTAACGTTACGAGAGCCAAAAGACATAATTTCCCTCCTTATGGGAATGAGCTCTATTACGAACATCCACCTCTCGTTTAGCAAAAATAGGTTTAGAACCATTCTGAAGTCAACACAAGTCAATTTTTTTAAATAATACTTTTTAGGAGTGTAGTAATAATATGTAATGTTAACTCTCTTTAAAGATTTCCATATTTCTCTTGCAATCTTGATTATGAGAATTTAGCGATACATCAGAGCAAATGCGTCGATTGGTCTTGTTATGATCAGGCCCTTGATTCTCGTGACTCTCATGTCACAGTTAAATTTGCTATAAAAAGTAAGAAAATTTAGAAATTAATCACTATATAAATTAAAGTAGATCCACAGGAGTGTCCTGACTTTTTAAGTTATAAACATTGGTTCTTCTCTTGAGATTATTTAGTTCTTTAAGCAAATAATAACGGCTCCAGAGACCAAATTAATTTATTGCCTTGAATAATATATGCGTAAATAAAAATTTCAGCCTGCCATTACTGTGCGTTTACAGCCTTCGGTTTGTAAGAGATTTTTTAAACTTTCAAAAATAATTTCTTGAAGATTTATAACAGTTTTGTAGAGCGATTTAAGTTTCATAGTAGGAAGTCTTGGAAAGCTATTGTTTTTAGAAGCTGTGTTATTATCCTTTAGACCAAATGAAGATCTAGAATCCAACAAGGGAGTCTGAAGATATTTAAGAGTAGGTAAGCGGAGGTAAACGCAATTTCGGCACAAACGTTCTAAAATCTTACTGAAATGTAAAAACTACGAATGGTAAAATACCAAAACTCACAACACTAAGGCAAACGAAAGCTGTTTATAATGAAGCTGTTATTAAAGTTTCTTTTATCCGTACACAGTGTGGGCCTCATTCTTTTACAAAAAGTGAAAAATATAATTCAAACTCCGGCTCCGATTTTCCTAATTCCCCTCGAGTTTTAAAGGCCGTTACTTGCTGTGCCTTGTGACGATGTAATTATGTTTGTTAAGGTTACTGTAGACCTTCAAGGGTGCCTTCTGGAAAATGCTTTCTTTACGTGTTGCTTTAAAGAAAACCACGGCAAACTATATATCAATGTAAAGCTAATAAACTGTAGAATCCGAAAATAACAATATATTTTGCTATTTTTGTTTTGATAGTCACGCGCTAGCCTAAAAACGCAAAAATGATCGTACTTGCTAAACTGAATTACCAGCCTTTGTGTCAACCTCGTTCCCAGGGTCTCTCATCTTACCGCCCCCTGCTCCAGGGGGCGGTAAGATGAGAGATCCTGGGAACTAGGTTGCCTTTGTGTTACCGCGGACATCCAAACTGACTGGACATTATCAATGAGGAGATCGATGGGCTAACAAAGGATGTGAGGCTTTTTCGATATTTCTATTGGCTGCTTAGAAAATCTCTTTCAAAGTTGGACAATAGAAAATTTTCTGACTGCTATTACTCGATGGGGCGTCACAGGAAAAATATTTCGATTTTCGCAAAAGCCTCACCCCCTTTGCTGCGCTAATATCTGACGAACATTTTGGCCAAGTTTCGTTGAAATCCGATAAATCTACATACCCTATTGATTCATTTGAATAGAGGTAATCCACGCAAAAATAAACTTTAAGTTTTCGGCCTCGAAAGAAATTCACAGTTTTCGCACCTCACTGAAGCGGTTGTCTACGTGGCCATGCCGCCAACCAATGAAGCGCAGCTTTGAACTCCCCGGCGGGTTACAGTAACGCTTCCCGGGAGTGAATGTGCAATGCATCTTTACATTTACAGTATATCTTTATATCTTACATCGTCTGCCGTGAAACATTCAGCATCTAAACCGAATCAGCAGATAAATGGTAAAGAAGGAAAGGGGGAGAAAGAGGGATAGTAGCGGAATAGCCTTGAACAGGCCTGCTCGGTGAGCCGAGTCGAGTACGGATATTTACACATTTACGAAAAGAACTAAACGCGCAATTCATCGGCCTGTTTGTTTTAGTAGAATATGGAAAAACACGCCTTAAAGCAGGCGAAAGGAGCGTTTGGAGAAGCTGCCTTGTCAGATGTCAGCGATTAAATTCGTCAGTAATTCCACGGCAATCAACTTTTGTGCCAGAAGAAGCTAGCGCAGGCATCGATGAAACATTCGCTTGCGATTTGCGCTTGCGTTTAAATGTAGGAATCAACAAAAGTGAAGATTTCTCTGCGAGAAATTGGAAGACGTAAACAACAGAAACGAAATACGACTCCGCGGATGGGATCAGTTGCCGCGAAAATTGTTACTGCTCAACTCAAAGGTTGACACATTTTAATTGGCTTATCACAGTTTGCGGTTCATTGACTCGTTTTGAGAATTACGTTTTTGTGGATAACTCGTTCACGTTTTAAGTTTTTGAAATATTTTTTTTGGAAAATTCAGATAAAGTAAAAGTCTTGAATTTGGTGTAAAAAGAACAATTCTGGACAAAATAGGCCCTTGAAGGTCTACAGTAACCTTAAATAAACGAGTCAGTTGGCAAGTGAAAATGTCATTTGGCCGGCAAAAACTTGGTAAATCATTTGCATCTGCGTTATCCTCCTTGAGGTGTTTCTTCATTGTTACCACTAGTGCACGCTGAAACGTTCCAAAACTATTTTTACGGCTTATACGGAACAGTCCACAGTTCACAGTCCACGAATCCCAGGACTGTTAGCATGTAGGGTGGCACATAATCCCTCGCGGTCTTTTGCTATACAATCCCTGCCTGCCTCCCTGGCTGAGGGGACCGCTTCTCTAAACCTCGCTGTATAGTTTTGCCGAGACAGTCACATCTTGCCTAGCCACTTTTCGACTTGCTGTAGGCCCTGGCTCCGAAGGGCTTCGTTTAGGGGCACTGGGTTATGTGTTCCGCAGGAGTTTTTTTTATAAAAAAAGTAAGTGGAGTAGAATGCACCTCAATCTTGAACTTTTGAACTCAATACGAAATAAAAACACTTTCCTTTAATGATACATATCAGTAGAATTGCTATTCTGCCAGAATGCTCATGCAAATGCTGCAATCTGATTGGCTGAGCTACTCGTATCAGTACTATCAGCCATTATAGTTCACCACTTAATTTTCTCCGATTCTTATTGGTCACGTTGTGACGATAAATTGTAAATGAAAACGCTGAAGCTTGTGATTGCGCATGTGTCATTTGGCTCTTACTCACTACGATTTGGTCTGGAACCTATGTCGTGTAATGAATATTGAAACGATTAAGTCCAGTAATTGTGCTTCATGGCATTCGTATACTTAATCATACGTTTAAGTTGATATTTAACTAATATAATTAACTGTTCGATCAAAAACAGGTCACAACGGTAGTCTCTTCAGTCCTGTTTATGAATACCGTGAGCAGTAAGAAGGTGGGCAGTTGTGCATTTTTGTTTCAGGGGGTGATTGTTCACCCTCTTGAAACACCCATACAATTGTTTTCATGCCTGTTCTGAATGAGCCTCCAGGGAACTCAGTGTAATTAACATGAACGCAATCATTCGCGGGCTGAGAAAGCGCTCAAGAAGCTGCTACATGCTAAACGAAACGTGTTACGAAACCAATGTCCCGCGCGTATGAGTAAAGTCACGTTTTTGAAGAGTTTGAATGAAAACTTCTCAAGATCTTTCCAATATCATCAAATATCAGTATCCCAGTTACTCAGTCTTTTAACAAATAGCTAATGAATTTGTTTAGGAAACAATTGCTCGCTGTTCAACATCTTCACTCAGAACAGCACATTGTGTTGTTTGCTGCAAACCACAATTTGTCTACGTTATCTCAGAACGCACATGTCATAAGTGTTCCAGGTAGCTCTAACCACGTTTTGTAACGATGGAATATTGAATAATCTTGATAGCTATCTCACTGGATGATGCAAGTACCATTTTCAGATAATCTGCTTTGGAGAAGCGTGCAGATATATATATATATATATATTACATGTCGGCATGACAAACGTGTAAGGCATCGCGTGGCTTTTAGAAAGCATCTATATCAAGCCTTCAGTATGTTAGGAAGTCAAAGATGCCCTCTTGGCGGTGTAAGTAAGTGAGTGGGCCCATTTCAGTCCAAGTGATCAGGGAATACTTAGAAGTTCATTTTAAGAAATCCATTAAGGAAAAGGGGAACGATATCTTTTCTTTCATCTCAGAAAAAACTGCAACAATTAAAATTTATTTACTCGGAAAGAGGGAACTTTAACTAGATTTTTAAACGAGTAACTCAGTAATAAAAAGTTATTTAACGTAGTTATGTCACGGTTTGCGCTTCTTGAAAAGTTTAGCCTAAACTTTTCAAGTTCGTCGTGCGCAATCCATGTTAATTTTCTCCATCCTTAGCTATCCTTGTTCCTTTATGGTTTATTATTATCTCTTTTTTATTTTTCTATCTTAGTAAACTATTATTTTAAGGTTTCCTTCGATTTAATAGTTATTTTGTACGTGGTCAGATTAACTCAAAACGCCCTGAATCTCGGCAGTGTCAACCCAGACATCCTGTCTGCTTACAGTTTAATTCTTGACATGACAACCATTTTTTAATTCTAATGCATCCTCCCGGAGTGTTGTTTGAACGTTAGGTCTCTTACTGTAATCATTCCTTACTTCATCCCTCAGTATAAGGTACTGGTATTAACGTAAGATTCTGATCCTCCAATAGGAAAAAGGATGGCGATTGGTACATCTACCCATAATTCTTAGCGCTCTAAAACTTGAACAATGTCCACAAAAACATACAGAAAATTTTAACGTCCTCAAACCTACGTAGAATACACACGTTAGCACCTGGACAACTAGTGCAAAAATATGGCTGGCTTTCTGTGTAATTTATGGGCTGTGTAAGGTTCTCATGGTTTTGTGGTAAAATGCACAGTCGCCATTTTTTTCCTAAGGCAGATTCTTCAAGTATTCTAATTCAAGCTTTTCCTCGTTAGTTTAATTTTGTGGAACCTATTTTTAATATTCCGAGACCCAAGAAAATGAAACTTGTCTAGAATTTCACAGTTAATTAACACTCTTCTGAGGCAACCTCATTCAGTCAAGACAAAATCTCTCGGCCTAAAGAAGGTTTCAAAAAGCAGCATGAGGAAGTAACAATATAAAAATATTAGTGATCAGTGCATGAGGCTATCCGCGCTTGGTTAATCGGCTTGAAGTCTCTCAACCCCCCCCCAAAATATCTCCGACGAGGTTTAAATTCTTTTAAGAACTTAAAACTAAAATGTAAAAATCGTACAAGCGTTTTTAAGCTGGGGTTATTCACTGATAACTAGTTTTGATCGGCCTTCTCTTGTCATTTCTAGTATAGATGAATTAACATGTGTTTACACAATTTTTTCTATTTTTGACGAGGTCACTTGACCGATTGATGCAATAGGCAAATACTGCTAATTGTTAAATCAGTTACATACAAAACAGGTCCTGGTTACCATGACCTTCATTCAACATTCATTGTACGGTATGCGTCCAATACACATGGCTGGGTATCAAACCGCGTTCTAATAATAACTCGTCAAATGTGTGTTTAGCATTCCTATAGCTTAAGACTATTTCTACAGAATGAGAAAAATATGAATGTAACCTCGAACATCTTTTAATTCACCACCTTACTAACAGTCTTTTCTGTTATTTCTTTCAGATATGCTTGTTTGTCCTAATAGAATACTATTATTAAAAAGCAATAAAATAAAATTAGACGTAAGTTGCATCACGCAATACAATTACTGAGCAGTACTGGGCATGAATGCGAGTTAATCATCGACTCAAAATAACAATTTCTCCATAATTTTAACATGATTCCCACACTGAAAAAGGGTATTATTAGCATTTAGCTACAGAGCCAAACACAAAACTACTCCACGA